AAGTTTCGTTTTCATAACTTCAATTTTTAAAATTCAGTCATGTAATCTGTGATAATTTGTGAAGTTATCCTACTACAATATCTGTTCCGTATTTAAGAAGGGTTTCATTAAGGCACTAACTATAGTCACACAGTAGAAACTTCTGTCGTAAGACACTCGTTCAGTTTCAAATTCAACGGTGTTTAAAAGACAACTATCAGTGGATGCAAGACCTGGTTTCGTAGTGCTTAATCAAACTCTCTGATAATCTGTCTCCTTCGTTCATTTCGAGCAGTCTTAAAAACAAAATAAATATCAGAAAGTGATCTATAGTGATCTGTAGTAACGAGAAAGATGGACACATAATCACAAAGTACTTTTTTAAAATATTAAATGAGTTCTTTGGAACATAATAAAGGCTCAAAATTCACTATAGAATCACTTAAGAATAAGCTATAGTGGTACAGAAAGAAATTAATTGGGTTAAATATGCTAGTTACCGAAACATTTTCATAATGAATCCTATAATTGAGCACCTTTTATGTGCCCCACGAAGAATGGAAAGTGTAATTAATAACTAACAGCAAGTTACATATTGAATCATAAAGTCCAGTAATAATCGTATTATTTTACATCAACATTAGTTTACACCGTGATTTAGTGATGGATTGTCTTAGTGACTAGCAGGAACCATGACTGACTTGCAACATGTAAGGTGTAAATAAATGAATAAGATTTTTATTTTTTCTGTTACAGGGTTAATCTTATAATTATTACTATACGTATAGTGCTAGTAAATCGTAATTTAATAAAAGTCTAAAGACTTCAAGTAGATTGTAATGAAATATTAACACATGCTCAATTTACACAAGCTCCCCATTGGCTCAACGGCAAGTCTGAAGACTTATAATACTAAAAGCCAGGTTTCAATGCCCGTGGTGGGCACAGCATAGATAGCCCAATATGTGTCATTGTGCTTAACAACAAACAAACAATTCACGTAAGTCCATTAACACTAGAAATATTTCTTAAATATAAATCCCTATATAATCAGCATTTGTATGTTGTAATAAAATAACTAACTACGATTTAACCGAGTGAGCTTCAGTATATTTTTTAAAGAGTACTGGATTCATCTTTTATGTAGGATGATCGTGATATTTTACTTTCAAAAGATTTGTTAATGACTGAATACCTGATTGAACACACGTTTTTTTATGAGACCTGTGCGTGGCGTATTCACCGTAGTGGTTAGCGTATCGAATTGGAGATCTAAGTGTATTTCAGCTCTGAGTGCGTTATAATAGTAACAGCTAATCCCATTATTCGGTTAAGAGTGGCTGCTTCAAGCAACTGCTGCTGCCGACTGGTTTCCTTCTCTTTATTCCGCAGATCAAAGTCAAGGACAGTTATGCCTAAACTTTAAAGGTCTCTGACCTGGCTGTTTAACCAATAGTGTGCATAAAGTACGGTTTAAGTCAATAAACTATCGAACACTTAAGACAAAAGTTACCTGTTCAGTCACTCTTTTCAATGTCATTCTAACGCTTGCATTATATATACTATAAATCAACCATTACAAGCATATAGCTGCAGATTTATGGTGAATAATGGAACCTGTGTATTTTCATCCACTTGCTTTAGGACTGAGCAGGGCCTAGGGGTTAATTTACATGATGTTTTTTTTTCAATTTTTTCTAATGATAATTATATGAAAGTTACATGTATATGGTTAGCCAAAGATCCGAGAGTATGCATTTATGGATTTTGGATAAAAATCAAATATCTCACAATGTGGATTGTTTTTTCCTGTAATGAAAGTATTATTTACATTTCGGGTGATCACGAAGGTTACCTTCAATAAGAAAGAACGTTGTGGATTCTGCATTGTTATAAGCTTGAAGGTACAATGCGCCAATATCATTATGACATAACCAATGCTGAATGTTTTGTAAACATAATCATACCAGAATTTGATTAAACTAATAAAACTGAAAATTCGAGCAGTGGGCATGAAATGTTACAAATCTGAATAAAACGTATCAAAACTAGCTTGCCTATTACAGCGAGACTAGAAAAGTAAAAGCAAAGTAAATAAATTACATTTTTGAATTGGCCTAAAAAATGAAGATGAAGTGGAGACAAGATATTGAACAAGTAGTCCGAAGTAAAGTAACAACATTGGAGGAGGTAGATGAAGAATGGAGGAGGTAGAAGAAGAAGAATTATATCTGGATAGGTGTGTGTAGAGATATTTTGTGAGGTAATGTAGTTGACAGGATTTATCCTAACAGGAGAAAGAAAAAGAATACGTGACAGAGTAAACTACCTAATTACACAATATAATGTATTTTAAAATTAAATCTGAAATTGAGACTTTAGAATAACTTTCACGCACGACAGGATTTAGTGTTTAATAACTTTGAACGTTTACGAAATATAAGTAATAGTTTTAAATCAGTGGTCAATGGATCTTTTCTTTTAAAGTTTCAATGGTCATTCAACAGATTTAATTATACCCCCCCCCCTTATAGACATATCTATTATAATGATAAGTATCACATTTTAGCCTGTTGAATTGTGTGTAATCAAACAAATGCTTTGTATTATGACCAAATTCCGTGGACATGAATGTTATATACTTGGAATATACTACAATATATTCAGGGTGAATGCTTCGTAGGTTAGCAACGAGTTTGATTAAATCAGTATTAGATAATTATCCAACATAATGCGTTTGATTTTGTGTTGACATCTTATAACTACAATATTGGGGAAAACAAAGACAACTATACGTTTCACTAATATTTCATTTATTACTGCATGGCTTCTCTCCTAAATCGTCAGGTGTACGCTGAAACAGTAATAATTATCCAAAAACCGATTGGGAACCTTGGCTTTAACGTTGAGGCATGTAGGAAGGAGCTTAAGTTGATCTGGTAGTTGAGAACTTAATGCAGCGTGCCAGTAAGTAAGTGCCGGCTTATTAAACAAACAAAGATGAAATAAGGAATATAAATTTTCCATAAGTATTTATATCTTTGTAATATTTAAGGCAGAAATATGGTTACACATTGTATTTATAAGATCTGAAATATGAGCTGATGAGAATGTATCCCATTCCCGGCGAAGACCTTGGATGTGAGTGCCCCTGGAAGTTGGTTATTTGGGACGTTTTAACAGAGAGAACAGTCAAGGATGGGACACACATACATATAATACATTATGTTGGGTGGGACACACATACATATAATATATTATGTGAGGTATGTATTTTAAGTTGTTTTTAGTAAGTACATGTGTTGACTGTATGAGCATAGACAGGTAGGGGGCCTTGCTGAACACCAGCTGCCCAAATTACATCCTACATCATAACAGAAATATTGCTTTATTTTTCTTAGTTTGCAGGTGGTTCAACAAAAGTCTTTGGAATCGATAATCGTCGAACTCAGCTGTGTTCACTAGTTGAGAAATGTGCCCAAAAGACAGTAGGGTTAAATTACATCTGTGATGGCTGTCCATTGCTGTCAACATATGATATTGTCTTGATTAAAGAGTGACTTCTGTTCTCTGTCATTGTAGCCCATGCTATGAATATAACTTCTAATAGCATTTGGCACACTTGCACCAGTCCTGCAACAGGAAATACTGTTTTCTCACAGCATAAAGAGTTATTTTGTGTTTAGGTACCCAGACCACGAAGAAGTAGTTTTCTGATTTGACTGTAACTACACTGACACCCTATTAATTGTGGATAACGATATGGCAAGTGACTTGGCGGTTTCTCGCTGACTTTGATCATCTTACTAGCATCTAACTATGCGATCTCGTCAATTGCCGTTCGTTTGTGGCAGGGCTGTTTGTGGTCTTTACTGAGCTATATCTATATTTATACGTTAGCGATATTTGAATAGGGTGTCTACTTAATGGTAGACTGTATATTCATTAAATCTGTCACGTAATTGTGTAAAAACTTACTTAGGGAATGTCCCGTTTTGTGTATGTGTTTTTTACCTTAAGAATTAACTGGAAGCTGCTATCATAACAACAAATATTCCAAAGTCTTGTCTGCCATTTTGTTTAAACAAGATATAAACTTAATCAACATCTAGATACTTGACAGCTAGCACGAGAGTTTAGCATTCTTTAGTACTGAGGCTGTATCCCAGCTGTAAATCTGTGCTTAAAAGAAAATAATTTAATAAGTTTTTCATACGTAGGTGATTTTTTAAGTTGGTTAACAGAAGGACGTAGCAGTATATTAATATAACATAGAAAACTCATGGACAATTTTTCAAACTAATTGGCCAACATTAGCTCTCAACAACAAGAGAACAGTTTAAGTAACATTCTCAATAACACGCCATTCATATAACTGTTTTCTAAAACACATGACAGATAGTATTGATTTTTTTAAGAATGAAGATGAATGGGTGTTAATTGATTGGAGTACAGTATTGTATATGACTTTCAGATATTCGTCGATTTTTGTGTAGCTGTTGTTTAAACCTTAGATACTGAAAGTCCAAAGATTAATTTACATTGCACAATATATTTTTTAATATTTTTAAACACAATGATTTTTATTTTATTAAAGCCAACTCAGCAGCACTGTTGTCTTTTACTTGTCCCTTTCCACCGATTGTACATGTTTTTTTTCCTCATAAAACACAAATATCTGTTGTTAAGGCAACAGAAAGTTTAACAAATATGTCTGATAAAGGAAAGATTCTGACATGCCATCTTTGCAGGAGATCAGGTGTAGTTTATAATGTGCCCTTACATTGTCTTCATTCTTATTAACTTTTACTAAGTTTTGACGTCAAAAACCCCTGAAAATTGTAACTATCCTTGTCTAAGTTTATTGCTGTGGTATTTTCCGGTTCGCTGATTTACCTCACAGTAGACAGCTACGGCCCACTAACTGAAAGCTCAAAGATATTGAGCTACATAACGGAGCGTTCTTCTCCTTGAACTCAAACTGAGTTCGTCATATAAAATAAAGAAACAAGACAAAAATACCCAAATCCAAAATCTTTATTTTACAAAACATAATACAAAATTAAAGCATACAAAAGGGAAACTGTATTTCGTGGATATGTAAAAATGGTAAAATATGTGGTTCTCTTATCAGGAGAACGTGCTCCCCACTATAAGCTAAAATTCAAATGAAAAATAACCCAAAAAGTTAAGTTAAACAAAATATAAACTAAAGTCTAAATAGAAAATAACACAAACAATTTAATTAAACATAAAACAGGTTAAACTGTAACATTAAACAAACTCTACCTTCCTCTAAAGAAGGTGTATTAAGTTTCACTATCTTTAAAACCAGTTCATTAACAGTGAAAGTTAACGTGAAGAAAGCAAAATCAAGCCCAGGAAAGTCATCAAAGTCTCTAAATTCTCTGGAAATCTTCCAATCTAGTCTAGTTGCCCCGAGTAAACCTGGCCTTAAATATAAAAAAAAACATTAAACAAAGCCAAGCTTGCACAACGCTCCACGTTCTTTAAACAGCCCATGCGTTCATTGCGTAAAGTGAGAAAAGAGTGTGACACCCCTTAGTTATTATTCAATTCGTCGACAAGAAAAGTCTCTCTCACAACCTTACAAAGTATTTTTCTTGTAAGAGAATATGAATAACAACCAGTTAATGAATACACGTGCTGCACCACGATCGAAAGGGAAAGATGAATAAGTTACTCACTATGCCCACATTGAGAAAAATCAAAAATATATTTTTTTTCAGTTGCACATGAATTAAGGGAGGTGAGCTAATGCGCGGTACAGACCTGTACCACATTGCTCTAGTTATTTTTCATGACAATTGTCTTTTTTATTACGAGGACGGCAATTTTTTCTAAACATTATCTAAGTGGTTCTCAAAATTTATTGTTCGCGACCACCTGACTTTTTTTTATTTCACGGACCACAATGGGATTTATATAGTACGCTGCTGCATCCTTTCTGTAATCGTGCAACCTTTCCATGGACCACCTGAAGGTAGCCCGAAGACCACCTGTGGTCCCTGAATCATTTAACTTTAAAAAAGAAATACTATAATAGCCATAATGTCTCAACAGTCTGTACAAAACGTCAAAAACAGCTTAAAATATAATATTTCTTATAGTAAGAACTTTATTTACCACCTTTTCTTACTTTCGTTTTGAATATGTACACTAATGAGTATAATATCATTTGAATAAGTATTTTTGTTGTTTTCATATAGCATATTTCAACATTTTTCAACATTTATCATTCATATATTTAATTAAAATTAAAAGTACTTGTACATATGTTACGGTTTAATATACAGCAACAGCATTTTAGGTTATTAGTGGTGAGTACAGAACTATGCATCAGAACTAAACAAACTAATAATAGCTTATGAAAAAACATGATGCTAAACGTTAACACCAAAATCTAATGGGGAAAGTATCATCATTTCCTTAATGGGTACACTTGGCAGAGGAAGCCTGAACAAAAGTAAATAACACTTTGAAGAGTTTTATTATATATTCCGTTATTATATATATACCTGTTTACCTACCCTCGTTATGCACAAGCCTGTGTCAGTTCTATCCCAACGTGGCCTCATGTTTTGCTCATGTACAAGCATGAGAATACACAGTTTGGCCATCTGAGCTCTGTCCACCTGGAGGAATCGAACCACGGATTTTAGTGTTGTGAGTCCATAAGTTTACCGCTGGCTAGCCCACCGCTGGAGAAACATAAACAGGTTAAAGTTCAAGTATTCTAACACATCTTAAATAATTGTAAAGAGCTGTTACACTTGTCATTTGTTTTTATTTCGTAATAAAGGTCATTCATGTACACAACTTCCGTATTAGTAATTAACAATAGAATAAGGTACTGGAATAAAGTATAATTGCATTGGCTTTATTGAAAAGTATTATAAAAACTGTAAAATGACAGTTCTCAAAATGAATTTGTTTATATGTCAAGAAAAGGTACGTATTAAAAAACATGGGGTAATACACAAGTTGGAACTTATATAAAAGTAAAATTATATTTCCTACTGATAGTAGGAAATGATAATATATATATGAAATAACAGCGATCGAAGTTTATGTTCATTCAGGTTTTCCAGGAACGTATACCCACGTATGTGCTTTTAAAGGTTATCGAATTTACGTAACTACTTAATTTTAACCTCAGTTAAAGCTATATCATTACAGTTAATAATGTTGACTTTCAAATATCCTAGATCTTGGGGGCCAGCCCTGTTTTGTTTAGTTGTTCTTTGTACACCGGCATTGTACTTTGCAATCTTTTAGAGAAAGTCCATTTTCAAAAAACAAGAGTTAACATATTGTAATGTTATCCATTTTCTTGCGTTTTGGTTCTCATTAATTTATGAACCTGAACTGCTCTAAGCGTGAACTAAAAGTACATTGTATAACGTTGTAAAATATCAGTATTGGAAAAAGGGTGTATATGATACAAGAGCTGTTTTAATGTACGATTATAAAATAAAAAATGGATATTTCAGTAGATAAAAAAATACATATTGTATTTATTTCCTAATATACAACTCGAACGTGGAAAATTAATCCCAAAAATCTTATTAAAAAGAGAAAGAGAGAGAGAATTTAAGAAAGGACTTGTATCGCTGAAGTTCCTCGGAAAAACTTTTTAAAGCTACAGAGAGAAAGCAGCCAGAATAGAGAACTCTGATCTTGGAACACTCCTTTATCACATACTTACGGTTACTACTCTTTAGCCTTGTACCGATTATACACTGGCGTAATGTAATTTAAAGAAGAAATAAAAACTCTAGCGGTGTTCACAAATGCTTACATCATCCCTATTACATATACAGAAAGAAGATTTCAGGTAGACATAAAGTGGTGTTTTTTAAATAAGCAAGACGTTATCCTAAAAACCCGACCAAACATCTATATACAATTTTAAATCCGAAAAGCCATATCCAGTAATCGAAGGAGGGCGTTTTCTAATGTGATAAACCAGCCTGCTATATTCATAATAATTGTTATATTGAATGTGACAATTCTATTTTTGAGACCTGCTAGGGAGAAGGTTATGTATTATTCTATTAAATGTATTCATGATTTATCGTGTATTACCGTATTTTT